TCTTACAGTGCAAGTGGCGAATCACCGAGAATACTTTTTTGAAGATATAAATAAAGGAGGTTTTTCATATTTTTCTCTTCGATTTGGCGCTTCCTTGGAGAATCATTCATTTGAATACAGTTGGGGTTGAAAACTTCTTTGGTGTTATAACAACAAAATAAAATACTATAGTCCGTCTAGAAAGTATCCGGAAAATAGAAAGCAAAATTAGAATTATCGATATATATTTTTAGGACTTCAGTTAAGAAAATTATAACTATATAAAATTATTAATTTTATTTACTTATGCAACCTCCATTTAACTCCAAACACTTAACTTAACGTCCAGGTACACCCGAAACTAGGTCTACTCCATAATGTTCAGTGTGGCGGTAGTCCAGGCCTGTGCGAATCAAATCTTGTTTATTTCGTGGAGCTGCTCGTTCCACTTCAATCTTCATTAGTCCCCATATATTTTCAATGGGAGTAAGGTCTGGTGAAGCTGCTGGCTATAGAATTGTTGCCAAATGGTGTTCTTACATCCAAGCTTGAGTATAGGCAGACGTATGGCATCTTGCATTATCCTGCTAAAAACGCCACCCCTCTAGATATAAAACATGAGCCGTTTCAAGAAGAAACCCATTTAAAATATCACAATATTTTGCACTATTGACAGTTCCATCGACTATACACAGAGGTGTAGCACCACGCTGAGATAGACGTTGATAAAAATCCATTCTTCGCTGCCTTTGTAGAGGTGTTATTGCAGGGATTTTTTGGCTTCCTTGATATGTAGCCGTGTCTTTTCAGTGACATACGGACGGTTACTGGACACACTTTTAATTTTCGTTGACTTCCAAATCTGTTAGTCAATTTGCGAAACCCTAGGCGCGGATTCTGTCGTCCTAATGCCACTAAAGCGTTTAAATTGTTTTCGCGAATCTTACGCTGTCTTCCTAAAACTGGTCCATGCTTCATATCTGTGCCAATTTTTATCCTCTTTACTCTCTCATATACTGCACTTTTTCCAAGTTCAGTCAATTGCACTAATTTTTTAATGTTTCGGACACCTTTTCTATACAAATATTCCACCACTTCTTTTTTTTTTACTTGCGACATTATTTCTCAAATCTTAAGCCGGTTTACAATAAACTATATTTGACAGATGGTGTTGCCATGCGATTTTGGTCATAGCCTACTATCGGCACAACCTACGTGATGGATTACTGTTGTCTTAGAGTGTTCCAGAAAAAAAAAATATTAAAATTAGGGAAAATATAAAATTCCGGATCTTTCTAGATGGAGTATAGTTTTATTTTGCTGTTGTAATTTTTTTTTGCATGTATGTATATTTTTGCATATCTATCTCAATATCCTCAAGGGGTTCACTCTTAAAAGACAATTCAAAATTTAAAAATCTACATTGACATAAACATTTCAAGTTGAGTGACAAAGTTATTGTTGTTGTCCATATTGTTAAACACTTTGTTAATGCATCAAGAACGAATTAAGGATACATTCGAGTATATTTTTTTATTTAGTTAAAGTATTAAATATGTTAAAATTATCACAAATTGTAAGCTTAAGATCGTCTTTTCAGAAATTAGGTATGCTAATAAATTTTCCAAAATATTTGTCAAAACTGAAACAAAGATAACACAAAAGTGCTATTAATTGAATATTTGTATCAGATAAAATTATAATATGAGTTTTCCAGAATTACTTGGGGCTCTATAATATTACCTATTTTCTCTTCAATATTATAGAAGAAAAAACAGATTATATTATTTCTTAGAATAAATTCTGGAAAACAACAATTAATTTTAACTATCTGTGTTTACTTTATATATAACTTACTTTATTAAATTACTAGAGAATGGAATGCTTATTATCTTACTTATTTAGAATTTTCAGTTCTTTGAAACTTCAAATAATTTTTCTGAAAATATTTAAAAATAAAGGACAAATTCTACAGCTAGGTCACAATCTTCCTCAACTCATTTCTTAACATTACTTTAAATTCGATTTTAAAGCGCAAGCATTTTATATTTCCTAAAAAACCTCATATATTTACTGGATATATATGTTGTCAAAATTCAGGTCATATTAAATAATACAAATAACCTTTTTCTTGAAAATAGCCGGAGTATTTGTTTAATCCCTTTTTTACTCTAATAGACGGGTTAAAATCGTTTCATTACTGAAATTTTAAACTGAAGGTGACATTAATTGTACTTATTTGAAGTTTCTTATTTGTGTACATTAAAACATAAAGAAGTAGGTTAATACCATTTTTTATTTTATTCACTTACTTCAGTTTGTATATTATTTTGATGTGTAAATTATTCATGTATTTCTAATTTGTATTAAAATAACTCCTTCAATTTCGAAAATATTTTCGTTTTACAGTTGGTGTTCCTGCATCGAATAATATTTTCGTTCAGTGATTCTTAACATCAAACAGATATTCTTTATTGTCCCACCTCTGTTATTTTTACGATAAAGTACGTAATATCAATTAGACAAGTTCTAGAAATATCATTTAGCACTACATACCGTGCTGGCAGCTCCTACTTTTGGGTCGGTATTTACATGTGTGGAAAAGTAAATGTGGTGTGCTTTTGCGGAGTTGCCACATTTCTCCGGTACGCCTTTCCCTATCAAGTAAAGTAAAATCACGATCGCAAACCGCTTATTTTTAAAAGACTTGAAAAAATAACTAGATAAAATCATTAGATATGTTTCTGAGCATTTGAAATGGAATTATAAGGGTATCGTTAGGGTGTCATTTTTTTATAACGAGAAAACGTCAGAAATCGCGATAATTTAAAAGCTCAACTTTTTAACACATAACAAAGATTTTTACAGACTGTCTGCCAAGAAAATATAGCAGAAATATTAAGAAAGTTTTTGAAAAGAACTACAATCAATTATTGTTTCTAATAGATTTCGAGATATCGATTTTTGAATTCAGAGTGTTAATAGCGCGACCACTGTCGAACACCAACTCAATTACGCTTATTTTTACCAAAAGTGCATGCGTTTCTAACTTGCACTTAAAAATTTACAAGCCATACGGAAAATTACGATTCGTTAATAAATAAACAAATAAAGTATCACGAGACGTAATTAAATCGTGAACTTTCCTACAATTTTAAGTACTTACGACCGCCCGACCGGACGACCTCGACGAATCTGCTATATCTCCATCCACGTCTCTTAACAATGTGCACAGTTTCTCGGTTTATTTCATACGTTTGGCAACGTTTTTACTCTTCTTTCTTTGTTTAGTACATTATAAACACATTGTACTCTTCTTATATACGCACAGCTCGACCTAAAACTAACCTTTGTCAGCCCTTAGTATAAAAAATATGCCTGTATTGACATAAAATTAATTAATGCATTTTGAAAAATAGCGGAAGTGTAATGTTAATTGATATTTTATTGTTAGCCTGAAAGTCATAAATCTTGGTCTATATGTTTCTGTAATTTTTTTTAACATATTTTAGTTTAATGTATTTTCCAGGTTATTCATTAATATTTCTAATTCAACTGTAATTAATCTTAACTGCCTCTGCTGTTTCAATTCAAGACTGATATTGATACCGTTATTTCCGATTTATTGCAACAAATTATGTTGGAATATAATTTTGTAAATGTTCTTATATGTAGTAACTGGGAAATGCAGCCGTCGGAGATACATATTTATGTAAAATTTTCAGTCAACAATATATTTTTTTATAATTTGTTTGTTTAAATTCGATTTCGAACCCATCCATAAACTGAAATATTTTGTATACAGGATTATCCGAACAGCATATTCTGCAGATAGAAATAAGTAAAATAGTTTGTATAAATGTATGTCCTAAAATGCTTAGTTTCGGAGATACGGGGTGTAGGAGTTTAGTTTTTATTTCGATTTTTTCCAAATAATTTCTGAAGTAACGCCAATATTTGGATGAAAATTGGTGTCTGGGAGTTTTTTGATATGAGAAATTTGGATTTTGATGTGTCAATATGAATCCTATTTGTAGAGGGCGCTACCTACATGTGTTTTAACTGTTTTTTTGACCTGTATAAAACTGCTGAGCGAAAAAATATACATTTCCGTGATTTTTTACGTAAATAAAGGTCTCTTGGTAAAAATCGCCACGAGCAACCGTTGTCAAGATATTTAGAATGGAAATAGTCAATACATGTCATTATTGACAAAAAATAAATACGTTGAGTAGATAGTTATTTGACTGAAATGTTAAATTTGTGAAATTTTTATTTTTTTAAATTTATCATAAATTTTTCTGCGAAATATTATGATAAAACAGTTTCTGTTGAGCTTTTGGCACAAAACCTTTCAAATTTATGATATCAGTCTAATAACTAGTTAGTCAACATAGTCAATGATGATAGGTATTGATAATTTTAATTCCAAATATCTCGAGAACCATTACTCGTAGCGATTTTTACCAAGAGAACTATTTTACGTAAAAAACGTCCTAAATGTATCTTTTTTTTCAGTAGTTTTGTACGGAAGAAAAGTTCTATTCTTCAAACCAGTGTAGGTGACGCCATATGTAGGTGGCGCTCTTTACAAGTAGGAGTCATATTGACATCAAAATCAAATTTCTTATGTCAAAAAACTCACAGACATTTCTTGAGAGAAGCACATAAATTTATACGACCGTTTTTACTATTTTTACTACTTCTTTTTATCTGCAGAATATGCTGCCGAAGTTTCCGGAATATAGTTGGGACCACCCTTTCTATGAAATACCTAGCTATTTCATGAAAAACGTCTAGGCAAGGTACGTTATAACAACATTTAATTTCATACATTCCCTGAAATTGTTATTTATTTTATGGAGTACCTAGGTTTTATACAGAATGCCTTAATTTTATACTTTGGCGGTATCATGGACGCTAAAACAAAATATCTGTTTTACGTAAAAAAACACTGGGATTATAATTATTAACAGAGACAAATTTGTTAGGGCATTTTAATTTTTTCTTACCCATTTATTTATATTTGCTTTTCTTTAGTTTCCGATGACGGGTAACATTAATCATTTTTTGTTCGGAAAATTTGTGTTTAAAGAGCCACTGAATTTATTTTTTAATATCTAAACTCGAAGTACGTCGCCTGTCATCCATTTATCGGTATATAATTAACAGTTACTATAAAGTCCGTCTACCTTTTTCGAACAACTATATCGTCTACATAACAATTCGTTGGTGTCTTTAAAAAAATCAACCATATCAATCTAACACAGCTGTTTTCTCGGAAGATGTCACGAAAATTAAGGCGATAAACTGAGGGCGACAGCGTCCAGAACAGCGAGAACGTCTCTAAAGGGGCGTGACGCACCCTTCCGATCGCGCTCGAACTCTTACGAGGCTGCGCGGCGCCGCTGCGCGCCAGAGGCTGGACGACGGCGCGTCGGCGTGGCGCTATACTAGTGTTTCTGGCGCGTAAGAGGGTACGGGGGGCGGGAGCAGCTCTCAGCAGGTGTCGTCCTTGACGCGGCCGCGCGGCTTGCGCTTGAAGATGTCCTCGAGTGGCGTCGCCAGGGGGCCCTTCTTGACGCGGCCCCATCGGCCACGGGCGAACAAGCCCTCCAGGCGATACTGAAATATAATACTGCTATTAGATATGTTACGGCTAAAATGGGTACTTGGCTAGTTTAAAAATAACCTATTTCACAAACTAACTAAAATGTTATACGTTGTTATTTTGAGAGGATCCGATTATTTTTGTCAAATACCGGGTAACTAGTAACTAGTTACCCGCTGTTTAACTAGTTGAACTAAGGTTAACTAGAACTGTAGATGTCGGTTCATACTGTTAATGGGGCCGCAAATATATTGTGTTATGTTTTCCCATTAATAAACTGAGGTTACGAATTAAAGTTGATATATTTATATAGAGTTTGCTAAAAAATCAAGGAAATAGGGCTAAAAATATAACAATTTAAACTACACCAAACATTTTTCCGTAGCGTTTTTTTTGGCATCTGAGTGTATATTCCTCATGAATTTATGAGACAACCGCGATGTCATACTAGGTATTACTGTAGTAGCACAAGTGAGCCTGTATAAGTAGTTTTTTTTATTACAAATTAGTTGAAATCCGGATAGTAAATAGTTATCTAGTTCAGGAAGTGATAATAAGGAAGGGTAAAATAAGTTTCGATGATTACCAAATTCAACAAGTCTGTTTAAAAGTTATTTAGTTACAAATTAAATTTATGAATTAATATGAAATTTGTTATATTGCCATATCCTACCTACTTAAGATCTACATTAACAAGAACCGAAATAAATTTTGTTAACTACGTGATAAGTATCTAAACTAGCAGTTATCTTTGTAAACTGACATAAAATCCACATTTTAGCCAGATTTTGTAGATAGTTTGCATACTCACCGGTTAGTTTGTAAAGTAACTACTAGTTGTCCGTTATTTAGCAAGAATGTACGGATTCCTTGAAAATAACAGCGCTTATTCCTCGATCCATATTAATCACCTCGCAAGGTTTATGGGAGTCATAAATGGTCCGATTGGTATTTGGTCCGATCTCATTTGAACTAGAGGTCACCCGAGTAGAGAGAGTATCTGTTTCTGTCCTACTCTCCAAAGAGAATGTACTTTATTGTCGATAAAGTAATATTCTTACCTCAGCCTGGATCACTATGGGAACAGTCAGAAAGTCCAGAAACGTTTCCGTTGATACAGTGGTTTTCTTTTGGTAATTTTTCACTAATCGTGGAATTATTGAATCCACAAATAAGAGCAGTTTTTGTACAGTGTTTCTTTTTGTGTAAGATCTAATTTTTATGAAGCTGTGTTATCTCCCATACTATGCTGTAATATACTGTTTAATTAGACTTTCAATAAAAGTTATTTTGAAAAAAAGATTGATGGAAACAGTAGTGGGAGAATTTTCAGGTTAGGGCTGGGGCTTGGAACACCCTCAAAAAGAAAATTCCACTTCTCCAACTCCCAGTTGATAACATACCAAGAATTTACAACTTTGAGAAACACCTCACAGTAGTATTGAGTAAATAAAAAGGGTTGGAAGGAAGAAACGTTTGCTCAGCATGTAAAAGACCATACCATAACGTGGTATACTGAGGCTTTCAAAACCAAAGCAGGGACAGGGATAGGAGTATTTGGCCGAAAACTAAATACTTCGAATCTGATAGTCAAGCAGCACTAAACGCGATCCTTAGTAACCATCAATTCGAAGTTCGCCAAAGAATCCCTAGAGAAGGTCAACAAATTAGACGATGAAAATAAAGTCCTCCTACTCTGGGTGCCTGCTCACCAAGGGAATGAAAAACCAAATGATCTAGCTAGAAAAGGAGCGAACACTCCACTACCTGCGCCAGAACGGTTCTGTTTTCCAAGCGGGAACCATAGCAGAAAGCGGAACTGAAGAACCTGGAAGACTCCATCCGTAACCTGGAATGGGTGTATCATTGCCGATATCTCCTGGTTATAATGTAGTTCTTTTTTCAAAATATTGCATTGTTTTAGCTTAAAAAACTTGAATTATGCGGCTTTTTTTGCGAGAGCTACCGGAGCTGCGTTAATAAAGAGATGGCTATGTACGTCAATCATAGCCACAATAAACTGTAATTTTACCTCGTCACGAGATTTTTTGGAAATATTGCACTTCCATTTATCCGGATTTCTACTAACTTTTGACCTTTCTTTTCGGTCGCATTTCCCTCTATTTAATAATAAATAATTAAAAAAAACGCCCAAATACTACTGGTAGTAAACAAGCTGTGGCAAAAATTTTCTATACTCCGTGTAAACAAGAGACTATCGCAAATACTGTCTTTCGATTGACGTACACATAGCCATCTCTTTATTAACGCAGCGCCGGTAGCTCTCGCAAAAAAGCCGCATAATTCAAGTTTTTTTTAAGCTAAAACAATGCAATATTTTGAAAAAGGAACTACAGTATAACCAGGAGATATCGGCAATGATAATGTTCTTGTCATTTGAACATAGTTCAGAATTTATTTTCCGTAAAAATAGCGCTAAAACTAAAACCAAAGCTGAACGTGCGCTAAAAACGGCGAGCGTTGTACTGACCATTTTTTTATTTATACTCGTTATTACTGCTAGCAAAAACCGATAGACCTAAATTTGGAATATGTTGTAACTAAATGTATAACTAATTAAATGATAGTATTCATATCTGTCAGTTTTAAAATTTATAACAGAGATTTTTATCTCAAAGTTATAATATGCTCGGGCAATGTAAACAAATCGAAAATATAAAAAATAATCCAGTTATTTAGGCTTGTCGGAAGCGCTAAAGACTCATGAGTATTTCTATGCAAAAATCAACACGATACGATAATTATTAACGAAATGACGCCAGGTTTAAAATTATTTATTTTGTTAAATCGGCGCGTCGCTGTCTCGCTTGCCTACTGGGCTGCCCGCTGCTAAGGTCGTTGTGCAATCCGGACGCTGAATTGAATACGTCAATCAATCCTAATTTATGTCATATGCTAATATACCAAATCTCGATTTTATATCTGAACAAAAAAAAGTTATAGGGGCGAGCCATTTTTGAGACGCACCCGGTATAGAGTTAGATTTAGATTAAAATGTGTAAAATATGTCATACATATAGTCATTGAACATATTCTAATTTAGTGATTGTGTAATGTGCTGTGTTCTCTTTATTTGTGTTAGTATAAATACGATATCTGGATATTCTAGGCGTTTCTGGTAGTGCTGCTGTGTTTTGATATCTCTCATATCAATTTCCACCATTAAAACTATATAAACATATTAAAATATATTCCATGATAATAACGAGTATTGTGGAGCACAACATTAAGTGATTGGTGATTGAAAGCACAAACTGGTGATACCTAGCTGCATTAAGTGAATTTATTTGAAAACCGTCAAATTGATTAAGCGTATTTTTAATCTAGATCATGCAAAGCTGCAACTCACCAGCAACACCTAGAGCAGGCGACCATCATACTTGAGGAGATCTTGAAGAAAAGAAATATGTAGTCTATGAATTTTTGTGGAAATTACGATTTCTTTACATAGTGTGCCAGATAACGCTAACATTGAAATAATATCAAATTTATAATTTGCGTAATAATTTTAATATGAAGTTAGAGCAATAATTTCATTTTATAAATTAAGGTAAGCCGTTGATAATTACATTTATATGTTTTGTTTGGTTTGGTTTTTTCTTTGCGAGTAGTGTAAAGTTTAACAGAATGTATATTCTATTATGTTGTGTTAGCTCACAATCTGTCCAGAATTGGTCTAGATCTTGAGGTGAATGCAGTGTGCTTTCACCAACTAATAGAATCATAACAATTCTCTCTGATGTAGGATAAGTTTGCATTTTCATCAAATTTCTGAAAAATGTTTTTGTTTTAACTGACACAAAATGATAACTAGTTTTTAAAGTTGGACTAATTAAACAGCTATGTTGAAGTAACGTCAGACATGACAGTCACCTAGATTTGATCAAATAATGATCTACTCAGATCAAATCATGTAAATGAAAATATCTCGGATAATCTTTGTTTAAGGGGTAGGCAATCTAAATAGTATTTTGAAGAGACATGAATTCTCCATTGAATATCGGAATAATATACTGGGTGTTAGGTAGCTTTTATTGTAATTTAAAAATTGTTCTTTATTTCTAGAAAATGTTAAATATGTCAAAAACCTTACATTTTAGTCATATACGTCTCTTATAAAACTAACTTTTATTTTTCTCCCAGAATCCGAAAATCAGTTCATATATAGGGTGTTCCATTACAAAAAACACAACTTTGATATGTAACTTTTTTTGGGGACACCCAGTAGAACTCTCTATATTTTTAAAAAGTGCGCTGAATTAACCTACATAATTTATTTTTTTAACAACAGTTTCTTAATATTTATCACAAAATACTTTAAATTAGAATCGCCCTGTTGTATAAAATAATAAGTTTATTTTTTTTTATTTTTACTTGCTGTCTATTTGCGCTTTAATTGCTAATAATTCTAGCAATTTCAAACAGTCGTCACTAAACTACAAAATGGCGAGCAAACGCCAAAACTTCAAAAGTGACTTCCATGCTTAATTTAATCATTACTATTCAAAAAATAAATATCAGTCATAAAAAAGCCCCCCGCCTTCATTTTACTTCTGTAAACTGTGTTCTTATCTGACACACTCTGTAACGTTTTTAAGATTATTTTATACCGGGTGTTTTTCAGAAGAAGCTCAGCCCAATAACTTTTTTTTATTTTTTCAGATAAAAAAGTGAGATTTGGTTTGTTAGTATAGGACATAAATCAGGATTCATTGACGTTTTCGTTTATTTTCGGTCACTTCCTGTTTCACCGGAAATGACTACAACTTTTGATTTTTAAATGGTACTCTCGGTATTTGTTTTACTTTATTTGATAGAGAATTATATTTTGAATAAGGTGACATAACACATGTGGAGTCATGACAGTCTAGATTGAAATTTAAAATACGATTTTTTAATTGAAAATGTCAAACGTTGACATATGCCATGCTATTCAGAATATCATTTTCTATCAAATAAAGTCAAAAAATACCGATGCATTTAAAAATCAAATGTAGATATTTCCGATGAACCATAAAATAAAAAATTATAGGTGTGAGCCACTATACCAAATCTCGTTTTTTTATTTGAAAAAATTCAAAAATTTATAGGGGAGAGCCACTCTTGAAAAACATCCGGTATATTTAAAAGTTGTATTTTGTTTATTTATTAAAGTAGCACGTTCAAAAAAAACTATTTAGCCATTTCAGGGTTATCACAATTTTTTAATATATCTATTTTTACTTATCATATTAATTTTAGAAAGTGATGTGTAAGTTAGTGAAACATTTTATTTTTGTGTTCAGTGAATAATATTTATATCTATCAATTAAGAAAAAATATAATATACACGTTATTGTAAAATGAACTACCTAAGAATATAGGAATTAAAACCATACCTTTAGTCATATGTTATCGTGACTGCGATGATATTCCCGCATTTCGTAATTGTTGTTGCCATTAGGGTTCTTAGGCTGCGTGGGTGGTGATGAAAGCAGGGCGGCGCTTTCGGGCCGTACCAGTAGGGATTCTCGCTCGCTTTCTGCACCCTCTGCCCTCAAAGTTCCTGGTACGGCCCCGTTGGCATTGGGCAGCTCTAATTCGGCTCTACAAAGCATAACAATTATATAACTGTAAAATGTTGGGGGGGGGGGTCGTTAGTTAATTATCTGCCGCCAAGACGAGCAGAGCACTACCATCGTTTTCTCGACGCAACTAAACACTTTTTTACGGGGGGTCGGAACTTCGTTGTGAATAAAGCAATAATATTAATTTTTACTAATCAAGAGGACTTACTAATCATGTGTTGCATCGCCTTCCTGTACATAGGAAATCCCATGTAAATTTTAGAAATGATGAATAAGTTTTCCTCATTTTAGAAGAACTCCTTGTAATGAAGAAAGTTCATTTAGAATGGTTTATACGAATTTGTTCTTGACTTGCGAAAATTTAAAATAATGCGGTCCTGATCAAACAAACATAATAATCATAAGTTATATCACAATATGACAAATTTATTATCATTTTTTTCCACAGAGATCTGTATAAACTATTATCAGATATATTCTGTATAAAAAGTTTCAAAAAGTACACTGTAAACATAGGAGAATATTTAAAAAATCAAATATATTGCTTGCTGCTTCAAAAGAAAATGTATTTATTAAATACTAAACAATTCACAAAATCAAATACTTGTTAATAATTAAAAAATGGACAAAATTTGCCCTACATTCTTCACCGCCGCGCCGTCCAATAATTCTTGGTGTTCTGAATCTTTAAATGACTTAAAATTAGGCTTCTTCAAAGTTTTTCAATTATTTCTCCAAGTAGGTATTTTGTTCCTTACTTGGTTTTCATATTCCACTTGTAACAGGATATTTAATTCATTTTTATTTATTATTTCTCCATGATCCTCATCACTATTCTTCTCTTACATTTATAGTCTTCAATAACTGGTCTGGCATATTTGGAAATTGTTTAGAAAATAAATTCTGTAAGCCTGTAGACTTTTTCCTCCATAATACCACCAACCTATTTTCTTTTCTTTAGGTGTGTTATTCATATTTACAAATCATATTTAAAGTCAATATGAAATTAAAAAAATTGATTTCTTTTGAAATTATTTTTTCCAACATTAAAGTCAGTTAATATTAAAAGATTGAATTTGAAGGTGGCATTTTTTTTATATTATTAATAAGGCTGCGACATCCAAAGTCATTTCGCCTTTTATAGAAACATTATAGTCTAAGAGCCAGTGAAAGGTTACCTGTATGTATTTCACCAGACCTAGGGTTTTGTACAGTGAAGTCCCTATACTTACTGTACATGACATGAGGACTCACTAAGCCCAACGTGGCAGACGCTGGGGGCGCCTAGGTAATAAAGGTATCGATTTTTGGTAAATTTTAAATGTATTTCTCCGTTTTGAAATTTGAAAATATATTATTATTATCGAAAAACAACAATGGTAGACCATTATCGCGCGTTTAACATTGCTGCAGACAGTTTTGAAAGTGGTGAAAAAAATTTGAGAGTAATTGACCATATCTGCCATTGATATATTTAATTTATTAGGTTCTTATAAACTTATTTTAATCACGGCAGATATCTTTATTGAGTGCACACTTCAGCAGACAACAAAATCTGAACTGCTATCCGATCAGATGTATGTTTATGACGTTCGCTGTTTCCCATCAATATGATTTACTCTATCACTGTATTTATAGAAATTAATATTTAATTTTGTCAACATTATACTAAACCATATAAGGCTGATGATAAAAAAGTAAATATATTTTGAAAGAACTTCAAATATCTAGGCAAACTATCAGCAAATAATCATTCAAATATTTATTTGATTTTCTTCTTTTTATACAGGGTTGTTCACCACATACGACACGGAGTATTGTAGCTAAACGATTATATTTTTACAAATTTCAAGTTTTAGGTTCGATGAAGGACTATTAGAGGTACAATTTAAAAATAATTTACAAGATACAGAGTGTCCCAAATAAGTAAAAAATATCAAAGTTGTATTTTTTTAAATGGAACAGCCTGTATATTATTACATTTTTAGTTTCTACGATTAAAATAAAGGTAAATTTGATTAAGGTTTATTACACTTAAACCTTACTGTTTTTGAAATATTTTCAATTTTGTGAAATTGCAGTAAAAATTTTAAGGCTTCATTTCTCCAAGGGTATCAAAGTTTTTAATACTAAATATTTACTGAAGTTTATTTATTGATCAGTTATTGTGTTGCAATAATAAAAATAATACTACCTTATACAGAGTGTCTAAAAATTTATTTTAAATAATTTATAGCTTTAAACGCCAATAACTTGTTTAATTTAAATGGAACGCTCTGTATATTTTAGGAGAATCAGATGCACAATTTAATTGTCTATCAAATTGTATTATACCATTTTTACCTATCCCTTCAAGTTTTCGTAGAAAATGCATTTTCTTATAATTTAGACCTCATTCATCAATATACCCATGGAATATTGACATCATATATTGACATTCTAGTAATATTATCGTTTTGCTAAAAACAATAATGTTGTATGCAAAAAGAAAACTATTTAAATCTTTATAAAAGAGTATACCATTAATTAAATATAGCACCATTATTTCTGCCCATATACTAATTAATTACATACTTAATTGTATTCGTTAATAAATTATTCTAAATAAATGTGGATTTGAGTCAGAAATCAATATAATAATAAGTTATCAAAATTAAAGTCTCTGTTATAAATAAGCATTTATTAAAAAATGAAATATCATTTTTAAGGTGTTACTTTTTATCACACTGTCTAATACCCATACAAAATTCAGTTTTTTTTAGTATTTGGAACAATTATTATTAATCAATGCAGTCAGTTAATGTAGTTTGAATACTGGAATCATATTAATTGGTCCTTTTTAACAAATATTTAAACAGTTTTTTTTTATTTTTTAATGAAATAAACGAATTATATCCACAATATTAGTATCTGTAATCATTAAAAATTTGGTACATCTTTAAAAATAATCTAAAATGTCAATATTCCATGGGTATATTAATAAATAAATTCTAAATTACAAGAAAATGCATTTTCTACGGAAACTTAAAGAGATAGGTAAAAAATGGTATAATATAATTGGATAGACAATTAATTGATAGACACTCTGTATGAGGTAGTATTATTTTTATTATTGCAACACAATAACTGATCAATAAATAAACTTCAGTAAATATTTAGTATTAAAAATTTTGGTACCCTTGGAGGAATGAAGCCTTAAAATTTTTACTGCAATTTCACAAAATTGAAAATATTTCAAAAACGGTAAGGTTTAAGTATAATAAACCTTAATCAAATTTACCTTTATTTTAATCGTAGAAACTAAAAATGCAATAATATACAGGGTGTTCCATTTAAAGAAATACAACTTTGATATTTTTTACTTATTTGGGACACTCTGTATCTTGTAAAATTATTTTTAAATTGTACCTCTAATAGTCCTTCATCGAACCCAAGACTTAAAATTTGTAAAAATCTCATCGTTTAGCTACAATACTCCGTGTCGTATGTGGTGAACAACCCTGTATATTTAAGAAAAATTAAAAAAAAAAATAATTAAAAACGTGAATCATGCACGTCATTATAAAATAAATTTCTTTTTTATCAATTTGAATTTGTATTCATCGTCTTCGGAATCATGTTTTTCATGGTGTGACTCGTCTTCATCGTCCATTAAATCGGAATCTGTAAAACAGTCGATAAAGAATTTGTTACTATGAATTTACCAGGGACTTGGGTAATTAAGTTACTCACAAGGGTTTTGGAAGTTGATCCCCTTTGAACCATTTGAACACAAATTTTTCTCAAAATATTTTTATTTTTAAAAACAGTCGGCTGATGCAATGCCGGGTGTGGGATTCGAACCCACTACCTTGAGATTGGTAGACGAGAGCCTGTACCTCTACGCCACCGGGCACCTGATTTAGGGCTTTTAAAAAGTTTAAACTATTAGCAATTGACTGTTTATCTTTTATTCCAGTATTTTTATTTTTATATCTCTCATAACTCAAGAACGAATTGGTATAAATCATTCACACAAAGTGAACAATTTGCTTCATTTTAAATAGTTATTTAAAAAGTTTGGAATAAATTTTTCTGTAAAATAAAAGAGGGAAAACTTATTCATCATTTTTAACATTTACATTGGATTTCCTATGTCCAGGTCGGCGATGCAACACACTCTATATAACGGCCTATATTGCCCACATACCTAGTAATTATATCTCATATTTTATGAATTATCGCTTATCTAATTTGTTTAAATTCGACTATGATTCACTGACCGATCATCAAAATTCTAAGTTACTTCTAGATGTTTCACAAATTTAAAATTTTGAATTTTAGGTAGTTTTAAGCTTCAATTCAGAACCTCCCATTTAGTGGAATAAAATAGTGGTTTCAATTACACTTTATACTTTTTAGTTTACGATCATTCACAATGTCTAAAAAACACAATTAAAATTAATAAAATATCCTAGCAACAGCTTGCGGTAGTCTGTTGTGTCTATAGACAAAGCATAATATTTATCTTATAAAACAATAAACTTTTGATTTCTAAACAATATTTTTCTTGACAGGTGATAGTCATAGGCCAAAATGACATTCCTCACAAATTTTGAAGTATAATTAGTGGAAAAGTCAAAAGTTTGTTAACTTTTTCCACTAATTGAAAATTACTACCACTAATTATGATGTTCTGAATGATTACATTAAAATTTGGTGAACAAACTTCTACGGCTAATTGAAACTACTAATTTTATCCACTGATTTCGAGGTTCCGAATGAAGCTTTAATCTTATAATGGAAAGAAAAATTTACAAATCTCGAAATATCCTTATGCATTTTGGATTGCCACGGTTCAAAGTTGTTTCTAGTTCGGCAACAGTACTTCGGGCATCTGGAGATGCTATCATTAAAAACTTGGGAATTTCTATAAGTGCAAACTTGAAGTATGTATTAGGATGTATTTCGGGAAAATAGTTAAACTTCTACAGGGTGGCTCAAAAATTTTGTTTGTTAGAATGGGAATTAAAAAATGAACATTTTATAATTCTCCATCCTGTATATTATTGCATTTTTGGCTTCCTTTCTGATCACTTTAGATAATCCTGAGATATTATTAAATATGTTTTGATAGTTTTAGAAATATTAAATAAATAAAAAAGATTTCAGCCTTTTTAAAAAAATAAAAATACAAGAAATGTCCTGAAATCAAAATTGTACTAGGTATTTACTATATTTGGTCTGACTTTCTTATAAATACCCTAATTTTAATCCATTCAGGGTGTTTTGTAATTCTATACCAAACTTTCTAAAATATAAAATAGTTTTTTTTTCTTCGGAACCAATAAAAATTTAAAAATGATTTAAATACAAAAAATGTTATTTTTTTATCCTTCATCTTACAAAGAAATGATATAGAGTGTTACATTTAAAAAAAATCATCCCGATCCATTCACACTTCTTTGAGCCACCCTGTAGAAATGTTAAAATATTTTCCTGGAATCCATCCTAATACATACTTTAGGTTTCCACTTATACAAAATTCCTAAGTTTTTTATTATAGGACTTCCAGATGCCCGACGCACTGTTGCCAGATCCGTGTAAAGTAGTAGGAACGACTTTGAAACGTGGCAACCCCTACTTGCGGCCACATTTTGATTGGAATCCTGTTACAAGTGTATGCCCCTATTCATAAATATATGTAAAAAATAGATTTCCTTGCCAGCATGTTGACGCGAAATTAGACCTATTAGTTAGTCTACTTAGACTTTGTTAGAAAAATTAGACTTTGGTTAACTACATGAGGAACGTACTAATCTTGCAGCCGGATCTTAGACTAATGTTGTGCTATATTAATAGAAATAAATACATTAATTAATTTGCAGCTGTATCAAAAAATAAGACTTACCTTAATATTCTTATCTTCTGTATCATTTCTCTTATTTCATACCGTAAAATGCCTAGGAAGCACAATTTAAGGAAGGCCAATACACAATAACCTAGGATGGCCAATAATGAGGCAGTTGACCTCAAATAGGCCAGAAGACGTTCGTCACAGCCTGCTGTGTGTGCCTAAAACAAGAAGTTGTTAGAATTGAGTAATTTAAATTAAAAAATAACGACGAATTGACTTTTTTGGTTTGTTACTACTAGGTATTATAATAGTTTTGATTGATATCGTTAATTACTATTTGTGGCATGTTTATTTTAATCTGTTTAAAGAGTATGAGTTAGGTATAAGTGATTTATATGTCATTTCTTTAGAAAGGGGGGCTACAACCGTTTCTAACCAATCGAAGTTTTTAAATTCAACCAATAAAATTAATATCGTATCATCGTATCGTCGGACAAGGGACGCATGAAAATCAAGCTTTAGAGTTCATTTGAAAATTAATTTAAAAGTTTTATAGAATCACTGTACAGTTCTGGATCATTATTTTTGTGCTATCTTTTGTGTCTAAAACTTGTTATTAATGGGTTAGAAGAAATCAGCAATGCATGGACGACATCGTCTTTGGTTGAAATGCGAGACTACTTGAGTGAGAGCGACTGTCTAAATCTTTTAAAATCATTATTTCTGGATTCTGATGTTTCCTCACTTAACTGATCTATTGGAAAGCTGATGTATTTGATTATTTAACCTCCGTGAATTAAAACTTTATGTAGTGATGATGGCATATATAACCAGTGATTATTTTTCAACATTTATTTCATTAATCTGACATCGAATATGTAAACTTGTAAAATAACTGCAAAACGTCTAAGTAGTTCTTTATTAAATCCTGTTATTTCCAACACCGACCGTTTCAAAATATTTAAAAAATCTCGCTGAATTGCCATCATTTGATGTGCCACGAAGTGATTGAAGTACCTGTTACAATCTGCTATAACTTTTCATCAATCATTTTCAAAACAAATTTTGCTTTACGTATATTATTTTACTAGAAAGTTAAATTTTAGTATCTACCAATTCAGATACCTCATTACTTATTGATTTAACGAAATCAGTAACATACGATTTTGTTTCTTTTGCAAAATGGAATGGAATTGGTCCGCAGTAATTTGTGGACGATGGTCGTTGATCATTGTATAATCTGGTTCATTATTTTTGTTTTGCCATTTGTGCCTCAAACTTGTTATTAATGGGTCAGAAGAATGAGCAATGCATGTATAATATCTTCGTTGGTTGAAATGTAAGAACATTGAGTGAGCGTGACTGCCTAAATCTTTTAAAATCCTTGTTTCTGTATTCATATGCTTCCACGCTTAATGGACCTATTGGAGGGCTGACGCATTTGATTATTTGACCTCCGCGAATTAAAACTTTATGTAGTGAAGATGGCATATTATTACCAGTGATTATTTTTCAACATTTATTTCATTAATCTCACATAAGTATAACTTGTAATTAAACCCTGTTATTAATCCAACACCTTCTCAAAATATTTAAAAAGTTTTCTCGAGGTATTGCCATCATTTGATGTGCCACTACCTGGTTTTGGTACATCAACAATTATACCAAATTTTTCTTTTAATTGAATTTGAATTTTTGATTTTGTTAATTTGCGAACTTCTTTTCCAATCGATAATTTGGCCGTCCATTTCTTAAATTCCAAACAGTAAGAAACATGAAGCACACATTCTATAAATCGCATTAATGCATGAAAACCCCTATTTATTTACTTCTTCTTTTTGCTTTCTTCTTTTCTATTTACTTTTTACATTTTATTATGCTTCTTGATTTACTTGTCGCTGCTTCAGTTATTTTCATATTGTTCATTTCAGAAGGTTTCGGCCCATATGTTACAGCATGCTGAAGATGTTATTTCATACCTGTTAAAATCTGGCATACCTTTCCATCATTTATTGTTAAAAACAAATTATGCTTTACCTATATTATTTTATCAGAAAATAAAATTTTAGTATCTACCAATTCAGATATTTTATCATTTATTGATTTAACGAAATCAGTAACATGCGATTTTGTTTCTATTGCAACATGGAACGAAATAGGTTTGCAGTAATTTGTAGATGATGGTCGTGCAATATTTGTGGAATTGAAAATGTGAGTTAGTTTAATTGGAACAAAGGATGCCATAAAAACAGACTCGTTAGTTAAAAATGCTTTGTCCAGATGAACCATCACGTACCCATTTTGATTTCAGTATTAATTTTGATGTCTCTAATGCTGTCAGTATATTGTCTTTTATGTTGGGAACATAAGTCGATTAAGCAGTTTATTCCAACAGAAATTGTAGTACTGTAGCTACTCCCCTCTCAGATACAACAGTTATTTCTTTATTCGGATAATATTCCTTTTTTTGTATCTTTTTTGTTTCCAACGCTAACTCATGCTAAATAGCAGATATTAGCAGTTAATGTGACATGATTCTAAACGAAAAACATTATGAGGTTTAATTTAATCTAAAAACAATCACTTCCAGCTTGGATAACCTTGGTTTAGATCGGCAAGCAGCGGCCAATAAGTTCCTGAGGGCAGCGAAAAATGGGACGAAAGTGGTTGAAATCGGTATCTAGTTTAATGCGGTTATAGTGGTGTAATAAATTAGTCAAGTGTTTTTATCGTGTGTTTGAATTAAGGACCCTCGGAATCCGTAATAATATTTTATACAAATATTTACAACGTTGTATTTTTACCTCAGTGTTCATTAGTTTGTATTTCCAAAGGCGAATATATATTAGATAGGCATATATAGAAGAAATTGTAAAAAAAAATATTAAAGTTAGTTTTGATTTTTTTACTTCGGTAGCGGTAGAATCGCTTGAAATTTTGAAGTTTTCTCAAATCATAAAATCTTTGGCTATTCCCCGTCCAAGTAAATGTCATTAGGAAATTTTCGTTTCTAGATTCTTTATCTGTAGCTTTTTAGATAAAATACTTATTTTTAAGTGTTCTGCTTGAGTGGCGTTACCCGTAGTTCGGAATCCGTTTCAAAGACTAACACACATTTTACTTAACTGAGATTGATATAAAGCTATAAATAATAGCCCCTCATATACCAGCGGATAAGTTGATTTGGTCGGCGGACTTTGTAACGGATGTAACAAAACTCTCATACTTTGGAACAAAATTTGACGTTTTGTAGCAGTTTTTATACAGGGTGTCCCAATATTCCGTGGGCATCCAACTATCATGTATTTTTGGAATGAAAATAAGTTCATTGGATTTAATTTACCTCTATACAAAAGTTCCAAGTCTGTTAGTGGGCATTAAACTTTAAAAAAATAAACACATTTTTTAGACCAGTCGACAAGTGGTTTTAGGTGGAAATAATTAGGGGCAAGCTGCAATAACACTTATTCTCTTTGTTTTGCTTTGTTGAATACTCTACTAAATTTGCACGGTCTATCGATCCCGGATTTGGCCGCCATATGGGAAAATGCTGTCAAATTATGACATTTTTATGTTTTTTTTTTAAATAACTCGGTCTGGGTGCACTGTACAGAAAATTTGCAAGAGACCAAAAATAAAGCTATTTAAATTCTCTATTCACCAATTTCGTATATGAACAGGTTAACGAGATACAGGCGCTTAAATACAAAGCATATATTTTCTAGTGGTTCATTTAATATGAGAAACTGATCCTATGTAAATTTGAATAATTTGCCAGTACAAATTTGTGTACAAACCCACTAAATGCATGTAAAAACAAAATGTTTTCTTTCATAGCCGTGTCCAATATTGATGCAGAGGATGACTAGAGGGTATTTCCAGCTTTTCCCTTTCCTTGTTTTAAAAAGTAGATGTTATTCTGACTCGCATAGTGTAGTAAGTATAACCAGTAAATCAATGTTCTCGATTGGAAGAATTAATGACCAACGAAAATATAAAACAAGAACCAGATGAACCGCTTGATGAAGAATATATTGATGAGTCAATTGATTAATCTTCTACGTCAAAAAAAGCAGACGGTGAAAATACATACTTATAAAGCATATATCATGTCATATGAATATAAAAATAGATCATTTGCAACGGCAAGAAAGTGGATTAGGCCTGTGATTAGGCCTATAGGGGAAACCACTTAGGGGCGCCGAATGCTCTACCGCCAGGTGGTGTGGAAACGAGCACAAAAAAACAAATTTGTACTGGCAAATTATTCAAATTTACATAGAATCAGTTTTTCATGTTAAATGAACCACTAGAAAATATATGCTTTGTATTTAAGCGCCTGTATCTCGTTAACGAAATCGGTGAATAGGATCTTTTTTGTAGAGAATTTTAATAGCTTTCTTTTTGGTGTCTTGCAAATTTTCTGTACAGAGCACCCAGACCGAGTTATTAAAAAAAAAACATAAAAATGTCATAATTTGGCAGGATTTTCCAATAAGGCGGCCAAATCCGGGATCGATAGACCGTGCAAATTTAGTAGAGTATTCAACAAAGCAAAACAAAGAGAATCAGTGTTATTGCAGCTTGCCCCTAATTATTTCCACCTAGGCCTATTTAAAATGACGTACCGACTGGCCTATTTAGGATATTTTAAAATCGATATTCCGATTTGTATGAGTTTTGGGGTATCTATGTTTTGCTAAGCGCTTTAATATTTGACGCTTATTTTTAGTAGTGGGAACTATCGAATGAATACTATCGAAACATTCGATAGTTGCAATTCATTCGAATAATTCAATAGCTAGTAAAAAACATTCGTTGAAAACTATTCGAATAAAAATTATCGAATAGATGTATTACATTACTTAAATATGTTATTAAGTTCAACTAATTCGTATTATTAAAACATCTATACAAATATGTATTTTTAAAATTAATTCTAAGTTCATCTCATCTCTGTTAAAAATTGCTACTTCTCAAAACTTCCCATTAAAAAATAGACCATATATACCATATAAAATAAAATAATTGAAAGATCGGGCTACGGAAAATCACACAAATTTTCGGAAAAATTTTGACACCTGCACACGCACACAATCGTCAATTAAAAAAAAACTACTATTTTAGTATTTTAAATATTTTAATAAACGCAAAAATAGCACAGTATTTATAAGGTGAAGTTATAAAAATTTGGAAGAACTAATAATGCACTGACGCACACAAAAATCAAACGAATACTATTTCATTTATCAAAAGCATTCGATAGTCTTGGCTCAACGATAACCATTTAGTCGCACGGCGAGGTTGTCACATATGCTTTAGTATACAAATGAATGAATGATTTTATTCGAATAAAACCATTCGATAGTTGAAATCATTCATTCAGTAACCATTCGATAGTCTAATTCATTCGATAGTTCCCATCGCTACTTATTTTATTAATAAGTGAGCAAGGAATATCTGACTTACATGAAACGCAAATAGACGAAATTGTATTAATTTGTTCGTGAATCGTCTTAATTTGGTTTATTCCAAAACTAGTAAATCTTTCGTGTAATGTATCTCTTCTTGTGTCATCTTGCTGCAGATTTGTATAGAGGTAAATTGGTCCAATGGACTTTTTTGATTCCAAAAATACGCAGTAGTTCTATGTCCACAGAATATTAGGACACTCTGTATAGATATGTATTTATCCGAATAAAAAATGCCGTATTTTTACTTAGAAAGAAAGATGTAGCATTTTCATTTTCCAAATGCTACTTTGTTTTATTATAGACGGATTTTTATTATTATATCGATATTTTCTTTAAATTTCTACAACGCTTAAATTTCGGAACGCTCTCTATCGAAAATATTGGATCGTACCCTGGTGTATCCGTCTTGTCGATACACCAGAAACGTCAAAATCGTCACCTCGGATTTGGCCGTTGCCGAGGTCACCGTGCCATTTTTTGAGAATTAAATTTATTTGGCTGGTATTTTTCACAATATGGGAAAAATATTGTGATTTTGTTATCCTATAGCTGGTTGAATGTCCCATATAGATTTTGATTGCTTAGATTTTAAAGGATCTATAGTTTTGTTAAGATTCTCTTTGACATTCCTTTCGTTAGAAAAAATCTTCACATGTCTTTCTTTTAGATTCCAGTTTTTTTGATGAGAAGTGTCCAGCCCTTATTTGAGAAGAAATGTTAAATTATTGATTGTGTGCCTTCACAATGAGGTAAATTAATACCGTCGTAAATGTTTCAAGTTTTTTTAAATGTAAGGTTAACTTATACCGTACATTTCTTTTTAGGTTTTTCTCAACATTTTTCTTTGGATTTTTCTTCAAGTATTTCTAGACGTTTTTCTACAGTGTTTTTCGCCAAATTTTCCTACAAGTTTTTCTTCGAGTTTTTCAATCACCGAGTTAATCAGTAGCAGCCTGTTCGGTTAGATTTCAGCTCTGCACCCCTCTGGGGAGAAGTTGGATGCAGTGATGTTTTTTTATCATTAAGAAGATCCTTTTTTAGTATAATTTGTTATACAAGGCCAGTATATTTTTTTATAGTAAACTAAAATTTTATTAATTTGATTTTAAATAATCATTAGTATGTTAAGAAATTAACTATTCTTAACATTTTACATTTAACTGGTTAAGTACTTGCCTTCAGCATTACTTTAACCCTTAATTTATAAAAAGTAGGTATGGGGCCACCTTAGCCCAAGGTCAACCCCCATTTTCTCCCTAAATTTAGGGAAATTTTCCCGTCCATAGCGGCCCACCCTATGTAAATCTTATAACATGGGTTATATGTAATTTCCCTAAATCTTCTGATTTTTAGATTTGGCAACGTCGCATTTCATTATACATCCGGCTTTATATCATTACGATCTTTGACCTGTAAGGGCAATCTTGGGTACAGATTTTAAATTTTTCCCTTGACTATATATTATAAACAAAAAGGTTCATGAATCTTCGAAATAAGTCAAATAAAACTTAAATATTTATTATTCAGATATAACCAAGACCGTCTCTAAAAATATTTTTTTATATTATAATTGTTTGAATATTTGAAAAGACATAATTTGATTTTAAGCAAGTTTTAAGATAGAGTTTCTTAAACATATTTCTTGTATATTAATGTACATGACAGCTGTGCCGAATAGGTACCGAATATTTCTAACAAGTAATAAATCTTATTTTTTTGGGTATTTGAATTGTTTCATTGGTTGATCCAGTTTCTCAAAATATTTAATAGCTATACTAATTTTAGTTTCTATTCAATTAATACACTTGTACAAATTTTCTTATTTCAGTTTGTACTATCCTTTGTAAGTATCAGCATCTTTTTGAAATAAGTGGCGCCCTTTGGTATGCAGTGTAAGGTATAGGTGGGTATCATATTTTTAGCCAGGTGCAGAAGCAAAAGCTTGTTCCCACCGCCTCCGATATAAGAGTAGCCGTTCGCAATATTTTGACTTACATTTTCAATAAAAGGAAAGTTTTTGTCACAAAGAGAGATACACGTCCGCTCGTCACAGGCTTGGTCCGCCATACAAATAAAAAAGTTTTATGCGCAGATTTGGCTCATGCCATATTAAGTCGGTCAACTTTTCCGTTGGTGTATGGGGGGCTAATATCTAACATCAATACTTACTTTTATACATCTTACTGATGCATTGCCGGATACAGACGGTTCTAAGCAACAACTTGTCGGCATTTCCCACCTAACTGTTCCCGTCGTATTATCGAATTCTTCGGGCCCTGTCACACCGCAGCAATGGTCTTCGGACTGCAACCTGTCCCACAGGCTTGTCAATGAACTGCCGCCGCCGTATTCCTGTTGGAATCGTATCCTAAGAGCTGGCCGAAGCTCCTAGATAAAAGACAAATAAAAAACATTTATCCACTATCATATAATAATGGTAGTTTCATTAGGACCTTCGTCCAGATAAAAATTCGTTCGTTCGGTGTCGAGACTTGTAAACCGGTTTTAGATGTGAATGATAACCCGTTTTTGACACCGGTGCTGATCTTGACACCGCTTTTAGATTAGGTAGATCTCGGATAAAAACCGCTGTCGTAGTCAAAACCGGTATCGAGATCAACACCGATTGTTACTATGACAACGATACACCGGGTAGCTTATATTTGGTAACCAGTGTCAGGCTAAGCGCAAATTGAGTCGCGTATATTGCGTGTGACATGACCTGGCGCGACGCGAATTTTTGTAAACTACAAAAATATATAGAACAGCGCAAATTGGCAACAAAGCGCAGCGCGGCGCGACCCGCATGACCTAACCAGCACACGCCGCTGTAGCTCAGACACAGTTTTTCGCGCATCGCGTGCGCGTGCACTATTCTTTATTATCGAATACAGTAAAATTTTCCCTTCGGCATCATCTGATTCTGATTCAGAACTAAAGTTTAGTAAGAATAATTGTTTCGATAGCGAATCAGACATTTTTATGTCGACATTTGTATACGAAGACGCCAGGTCATGTCATGCGATATACGCGACTCAATTTGCGCCTAGGCTCAACCCAACACCGAAATTTTAACGGAGTATCTAGTATCCAAAAAAGTTTAAAAAACATTCAAATGAAATATCATGGAATAAGCCTATACTAAACAACATAGTTCCCATAACAACAAAAACATCTTTAATTCAATTTTTAAGAATAATGCGAATATATACCAGGCGAATACCAGGCGATACCAACAAGGTGAATATATACCAGCACCGACAACATCGAATCGAGACAGCTACTATGGTATGGGCACGTAAAAAGGAATGGGAGGGGAAAGATGGCCAAAAAGGGCAATGGAGTATCGTCTCCAAAGCAGAAGCAAAAGAGGAAGACCTACAACTACGTGGTTAGATGGAGTAGACCAGTACATGAGAGACAGAGCTATTAACCAGGAAGAATGGCAAAATCGAGCAATATGGAGGTCGAAATGCGGGATGCGGCAGAAGCTGTAGGATCCCCGCTTTATATATTATATATATAAGAATAATGCTTCTTGCGAATTTTCCTATCAAAGTTTTATATTTTTTGCTACGTATCAAAGCCATCTATATTATTGTCTAACGACAAGCCGTGAAGTTAAAACGGCAACGGCACATATTTCAATTTAAATGGTCCTGCATAACATACTAACCTAACTTTTGTTTTCATGGTGGCGATCGACAAAATATGAGAAAAGAAGTTAACGAAACAAAGCGAAAAGCGGTTTGGCTTTGAGATAAAGAAAAAAAAAATTACACAAAACAGTACCAAGTCCTTACTATACCTAGGTTTCCACAGATAGCTTTGATAGAAATAGTTTTTAAATAGGAGAAATGAGTAAAAAAGAGACCACACAAGAATTACAAAAAAAACATCTTTTATTTTTATTAAATACCTATGCTCTGAATTAATGACAATTGATCAGAACTCAACTGTAGAATACTTAAGTTTTCAGAATCCCGATACAAACAATTTATAGCTTTTTGAACATTAGCGTATGCTTTTTCTACATAGTACTCAAATTCTTTCGGTAACTGCCTTGAAAATAATAGAATCCAAACAAATAAATGACAAAGAATGCTTAACTTCTTTGTCATTTATCGGAAGCAAAAAAAATAGAGAAAAAAGAAAACACTATTTAAAATACCTAAATACAACTATTCGAGAACATTTTAGTCTTTAGCAGATACGTCTATTGTAAACCGTTGACGTTTTGTTAAAATTACTACCTGATAACAATTATTACTTATTGACATAAAACACAAAAGCTTGAACTTTCTGTATGTGTTGTTTTTGTTTATTCTGTTTATTCAGCTTTTTTTACTATTAAGTATATTTTATTACTCTAATATATTTATTACAATTCTTAACTAATATTATTTTATTTTTTACTTAATATTCATTAGAGATAATATAGACCGATAACATAATTTTATATATCCAACTTTAATAATTACCTGACAAATCCTTTCAAATCTATATGCCCAAAATGCCCCTATAACAACATCTCCAAATACCAAAACTAGTAGCAATAACCAATAGGCATTGAGTAGTCTTTCCGATAGTTTTAAGGCAGCAAGACACCCTAATAGTTGTAAAGCGCCCCCTTGTGTGGCTAGCGCTAGATAAGCGTATAGAAATGAAGGCTGATAAAGAGTCAACGATGGCACCAAGCTCCTGAAAAAATAGAAAAATAGTTTTAATACCTTGTAGTGAAGTAACATAAATAAAGTAAGGGTGGTGAATGTTTATGCATATTAAATATCAATCGAAGTTTGGCAGGTTTAGGACTAAGAAATAAAAAAAAATACTTTCTTTAAAAAGTTGCCGACGCGACGTTTCGACATATATTCTCGTCTTTGCTAGATTGGATTTTTTTCGGTGATTTTTGCTCGATTTCGATAATATTAAATTTTTGCTTTACCTTGTTTGTTATTGTCAGGATAACATGTTCATCAGTAAATTCCATTATTATTTATTTTATAATAACGTTGATATCACTAACTTGTTGCCTTATGAAAGGCACTTTTGTAAATTCTTACACTATTCCTGTGTACTACACCCCGCGCACCGCACGAAAAAGTGGCAGCTTAAAATTTTGATGTATTTTAAAGTTTTATACCGGATGCGTCTCGAAAGAGGCTCATCCATATAATTTTTTTTTATTTTTTCAGATAAACAAACGAGATTTGGTATGTTAGTATATGACATAAATTAGGATTCATTGACGTATTCAATTCTTTTCGGCCACTTTCTGTTTCACCAGAAAAGACTACAACTTTTGATTTTTAAATGGACTCACTCGGTATTTTTTTACTTTATTCGATAGAAAATGACACTCTGATTAGAATGACATATCACATGTCAACTTTTGACATTTTCGTTTAAAATAAAATTGAATTTTATATTTCAATCTAGAGTGCCATGCTATGTTAAAAACACTAATTTTTAATCAAGGAGCCTTGGAAAAAATAGATTTGATCGTCTAATGTTTTTAGTATCTTGTCCTGGCCGGTTAAAAGATGCCCAAATCGTATTTTTAATCATATCTCATTTTTTTCAAATATAATGAGGGTGGCTCATTAGCATATTTGGAAAAAGCATTTTTTTCGAATAATTTAGTACCACACACTTGTTATTTCGAGTCAAATTGTCGTTATGAGCCGCATGTTACAATTTCAAATAAACCTTATGAAATAATGTCAAAAGTTGACAAATGGTATGTCATTCTACTCAGAGTGTCATTTTCTATCGAATAAAGTAAAAAAAATCAAGGGTGCCATGTAAAAATCAAAAGTTTTAGGCATTTCCGGTAAAACAGGAAGTGATCAAAAACAAATTAATACCGTCAGTTAATGCTAATTTATGTCATATATTGCAACATACCAAATCTCTTAAGGGTGAGCCACTTTTGAGACGCACCCGGTATATTGAGTTCTAGTGGACCGATTTTGATGATCTTCTGTGTAGCTTGTAGCTAAATTATTTGACTTTTTAGTGTCTTTTTCTAAATTAAAAATGAAAGTTCTGTCAATTATACGAGGGAACAAAAATGTTGTTATTTTGGTGAAAGTTTGGAACACCCGCGCAATATGATAAAAAAGCTAGGAATTTAAAAATTATAAATTAATTCAAAATAGGGGATCCTAATACAAAGCTTTTAAATTATAGTACTGGCTAACAAAAATCTTCGAAATAAACTCAACACATATTTCTCCATCCTCTTCAATTACAGTTACAGACTTGTAAATTATTCCTACAGAAAACTTGGCGCAATGTTTAAATTGGTCAGGAATGTTTTGAAAATTAAAGTGTTTATCTTATTATCCATTTTCATCGTTCTTTATTTGTTTGTCTATTATTCATATTTCAATTCGTTGGGTTGGCTTTTATTTTTACCAAATTCATTTCTCTTTGAGTAATTGATTCAAATTTTCTTTAAATATCATGTTTATAATTCTGACCATAGAAAGCCAGGTCTATATTTCAAAATGCAAATACTTTCAATTCTAGAAACAAAGCCAACTCATATAAGCAAATCTGCAAACTTGCAATAATCAGGACCAATACTATTAATGGTTATCTTTATCGCTAACGTCACTTTCTACTAATGGATCCCAATTCAATTCAGAGCACCCAGCTTTTCGATTATTTAGTTATTTTATTCTTTTAACGGGAGTCTTTGATTTAAGAAAGTTGCCCACTCTCTTGCTACCTGCATTCAGAGACCAATTTCGATCTTAGTAATTCGCTTATATACCAATGTAGAAATTCCGTTACCTAAAACATTTTTGTCTTCGTCAGTGTCCAAAAATTACGGATACTTGTCGGCCATTTTCCTTGCTACTTCTTTAAACGCTTTATTTGAAATATCTGTACCTTATTTATACGTATATATTAACTTCTGTTCCCTTTGCACATTGCGTTGGTAAATTAAAAACTATGGTATTTTTAACCAGGGGATATCAAAAGTTTCCAACTGTAATCAGATATAAAATTATTTTCCGCCATCTCATTACTTATCGTAACGTTTTGGGGAACAGGAAGGAATATAACTTTAATATTATTTATAATTATAACGAAATTAAAAGAAGTAGGATTAGTAAGTGTATTATCGTTGACATATTCTGCTGATCGATTTTTCTGCAAGTCTCAAATTCATGTAATGATAGAGGCTGAGCTTGTAATACTCGGTTTATAACTAACCGAAGTCGCATAATCTCTATATGGCATCCACTGTTCACCTTGCTGGAGCATAATAGGTGTTTCTTCCTTTAATTCGAACTTCTTTTTGCTTGGAACTTCTCATATGTCCAAGACTTTATTGTCGTATAGTGCTCTACCGTGGCTGGCCGTGACTCCAGCTGTAGTGTGTCGAACTGCTTCGCGAGCAGTACTGGATTCGATCCTCAGTCAGTACAGTCGCTTTATTTATTTAAATAAAAATATTTATCTAAATATAGAAACCACCTCACAGAAGGCAATAGCAAACCACCTTGAGTAATATTTGCCTACTAAGACCTCTCAAATATTACAGTTCGGATTAATTTCACATCACAAACCTAACCTAACTGATGACACGCATCACAAGTACCTGAGAGGGGTCGCCAACGTTCAGTATAGAGCATGGGACTAAAAGAAGTGCTCTATAAATAAATAGTTGAAATTCGTTTAACACAGTTCGCCGGCAGTTCTAGGACTGTACGATTTGAACTGAAGATCTAAACTTTGTCAGGCCACACACAATGAAGTTACGTTGAACGATGCGATCTTCAGATTTGGGACTGTCAGTTTTTGGAAAAGGCAGTGCTTTTACCACAGACACACATATAGTCAGTTTTAATCGAACGATCTTGTAGTGAAAAATGTTTTTAAATACAGAAAATACACTTCTCGTGCTTTTGATATTGCAAGAGCCAATTACAGAAACAAAAAAAACCTTTCTGGGTGAAAGATTGGTTGTTACAACGTGATACATTATCTCATACGAAGTGCGAAAATTAAGAATTAGTGCAACAGATGACCTTAAAACTACCTCAAAATGAATGACACATGCTTTAATAAACTTTTAAAGGTGGTTAAGCCCATAATAACTTTGGTTTTTGCGCTTTTTAAGTTCGTTTCGAAACGCACTTCGCAAATTGATTATTCTTTTCTTTACAGAATCAGTAGTTGTATCAACATTTGTATCAATAGTTTTATTTAGTTTTTTCCTATCTGTTTGAATAAGCTTTAGTTTTAATTTTCCACAGATAGAGCAATTGTCTATACAATCAAATCGGTTATTGTCTACAATCAAGTCGGTTAAAAATGTCGTATTATAACTTAAATCGTTCATCTTGACAGTACAAAACTTAGCACTGTCGATTTTTCACTATACACTTCAGTCGGCTGTGAGATTCAAGCGATTTGCAGATTCAAACCTGTTGACGGCCTGTATGTGTATGGAGAAATTTTAACTGACAGTTCTCATCTTAGTTGACAAATCAACAGTTCTGGACTGCCGGCGAACTGTATGTGAGTGGGCGCCTTAAGGGTAAAACTTGAAATAATAATAATAATAATAATAAATGTCTTTATTTAGTACCCAAGAATCGAGATCTAGCACAATGCTACTCCATCTAACCGCGCTATTAAATATAAGCTTAACAACTAAATTCTAAGTCTAAGTTTTTTCGTGAGCAGTAATTAATGACACTAAAAGATTATAGAAAACAATAATATGATAGCAAAGGCGAGCATTAAATTAACAAACTAAAAACATAAATAATTATTAAGTTATTTTAAAATCATATTCTCGACGAAATTAAATACTTCTCTCGTTCATATAATGACGCTTGACAACCTTCCTGAATGAGCCAACAAAGGGCCTGCATAATACACTATTTGGTAAACCATTAAATACTTTTACAGCAGAATAACTAAATGAACCTCGAAACTTGGAAGTTCTATGTTTAGGTACAACAAAATTTCGGGAGTTACGTGTTGCCCGACTGTGGGTACTATTATTAGTAATTAATTTGTCATACAAATATTTAGGGAGTTGGCTGTGACGAACTTTATAAACAAGAGTAGCTAAGTGAACATTGAATCGTTCATCCAATGTTAACCAGTTGGACGCCTCTAACAATGGGGTGACATGGTCAAATTTTCTTTTGCCAAAACTAAACTTTAAGCAGGCATTTTGAAGCTCTTGTAGGCTATATCTATTTCTTTGTGTAATGGCTGGCCAGAATAAAACATCACAATAGGAGATCATAGATAACACCAAAGAATTAGTTAACTTTAACTTAATATCAGTAGATAGAATATTTGCATGCATGTAAAGTACTTTTAATTTATAACACGCTTTTTGCAGAACCCTGGACACATGATTTTCAAATTTAAGTTGGTTATCCAACTATATGCCTAAGTTTTTTTCACAGCTTGAAGGTACAACTAGTGTGCCATCAATAATAACTTCCATACATTGATGATCAGGCATGCCAAATAACAACAATTTGGATATGCTTCCATTGAGTACCAGTTTGTGAGATTTAGACACCTTTACAATCGTATCAAGATCTGAATTAATATTTCTTAAGACTTTATTGACATTAGATAATTGAAAAGTGTGGTATATTTGGGTGTCGTCAGTGTATTGATGAGATTTACAAACAGTTAAAAATTCACTAAAG